TAATAGGGTCTGTTTTATTCCATTTGTATTTCACTTCTGGATGCATGTACCAATGTTCTTGTTTAACAGTGTAAATATTAACAATATTTATATCAGAAGAAGCTCAGCTATCTGTATGTTTATTATATCTGACAGTTCTGGTACCTGCATGTACTTTTCCAAGCTGTCTTTCTTACTGATGCTTGTAAATAGTATGGGAAATAGGACTGGAATGTGATTTCTTTCTTTAAGGAAGTGTATTTTTTTCTTGACACCATATCTGAGAAACCAAAGACAATTGTGCTGCTGTTTCTTGCTGTAACAAGAAACAGTATTTTGCCTGATTTATGGTAAATCCCCAGTTCATGCCCTGTCTTGAGTTTAAATTTTGTTTGGTTGGTTTTTTTTGTTTGGATGGATGAGAGCATTAGTACAAACTAAATGGCTTTTACCTGGAACTTGCGGTTGTTACTGTGGACATTCTTACTCAAACTTTAAAGCCTGGGTTAGAGCTTCATCTGAATCTTCTGGCTTACAACTCTTCTTTGAAAGATGTTATGTCACTTTATTGCAAACCTAGTAGGATGCTTTTAAGGGAGGAAAAGGAAAAAAAAATAACAACTGTCACTTAATAATTTCTAAAGTTGCAGATTTGAGGTTTATGGTTGAGGTGGGGTTTTTTGGGTTTTGTTTTATTTTTATTCAGAAAATGTAAGAGGTGAAACCAGTAATGATGTTTTGAAGCTACTTAAATGGAAATTAGAGGTGCCTTGGTTTGTATTCTGCATGAACCGCTACCTTCCAAGCCTTGACTCCAGCTGCAGACTGTGAAGTTCCCAAACTGGTTTGGGGGGGGGGGGTTTGATGTGTGATAATTCAACTGGGAACAGTCTGAGTTCAGAGGAGAAAAGAGGATCTATGAATCCTTGCTTTCAAGGGTTACTTTTAGTTGCAGCATTATTCTCAAACTTACTTTCATCTGCTAGGGAAGTATCCATACAGACAAGATGGTTGTTGCTTTTTGTTTTTTTTTTCTCGTGACAATGAAAATACCATTATTTCAGTCTTAAAGCATCATGTAAAAGGGAAGAAGAGCAACTGAAAACATGGTCTGAAGGTTCACAATCCTTCAATTTCAAAAGAGGTAAACTGTATTTGTTAGGCATATGTTCTCCATGATTTTGAATATACAGAATATATAAAGAAAAACAGGTACCACAGAAAGGTATCTGTATCATGCTGCAGGGATCTTTTATATATAAAGCTTATTAGGAAGCATGGACAGATTTGTTAGGGAAACAGGTGGAAAAATAGTTATCTCTGTAATACCAAGCAAAGTGTTCCATATAAATTATGGAATCTTTATGCTTTTCTGTTTTCTCACTTGAACTACCCTGTCTGACTTATATGTTTAGCAGATACACAGATTGTCCATGAAAAAATTCCAACAAACCACTAGAAGCTGGATATTACCTCACTGAGATTTTTATGTTCCCATATCCTTGCTTCTTCCCACCCTTGCCTGCTCGAAAACCACTCTTGGAAGAAATTGTTGCAATTTTAGTTGTAATAAATTACGCTTCAAGCTGTAGGAGAGGATCTGATACTGTGGAAGAAAATCATTCAGTGTTTCAACTGAAAACTAACTTTGTCTCATTACTTCTATCTCCAGTGATAGAAGTCTGTAGTGACTTTCAGCTGGAGGTGCATCATTTTTCACTTTTATTTTTACATAATGTTCTAAAACTTAGGCAGAACAGACTGTTCCAGAGGCATCATGTTCTGTAGACTCCTGACAGCCAGGGCAGCTGTCTACCAGTGAGAGCAATTCACCACATAAAATATATACTAGCGAGCTGTCCCTCATGCCAGCTCAAGAAAAAGTTGCTGATAGCAAATGGCAAGCACTGCTGAATTATAAGGCCTGACAAAAGAAATGGGAACTAGAGGAATATATCTTCCTGCTCCACCAGACCCTTAGTCCTGGCTGCATTTTCTTCCTGTCCAAGCATCGCCAGGTCTAGGCATTTTTAGGAAGACGTAAAAAGTATTGACATTTGTTTGCACTATACTGTTTGCACTGTATTTGTGCCACTGGCAGAGGGACAAATCACACAGACTGAGCACTCACACTAATACCACGTTCACACGCTGCTCTTTGCTCTAATCAGGACACTGATTCTGGGCTGGGCGAGTTCCACCTGCTGCATGGCTACGTGCTGTCACAGATTGTTGAAGCAGACTGGCTTTGATAGGTTCATGATCCAAGACCTCTCTTGACCTTACAGTCACCCATAATGCTTCTTGCAGTATACATCCCATTAATGTCAGCATTGTGCCTGACCTGGTTTTAGGAGGCTTGTTGGACACTGCCTTTGTTCCTATGAGCAAAAGAATGGTCTGTAGGTTTTTTCATTCAGTGGTCACTGTCGCTCAGCCTAATAAGTCTGTTTGTAATCTTTCACACCAGGCTTTAGTCCTTATGAACGTGAGTAACTCTGAGGTGACAGTTTGTTGATGATACTATTCACCTTCTTTTCCATATAATTACAAACACGCTAAAAAGCACTGTGGATCTTACTAAGGTGCTCTTGCAACCTCCCAGTGATGGGAGAACTGACTGCTTTCTCCTTCTTTTCTTGTCTTTTAGCTTTGTTATACGCACATGAGAACTGTTCCTGTGGCAACACTTTGAAGTCCCAAAGTTTCTCTTTAGAGTCTCTTAAAACTTCCATAAAGAATTTAAAATATCAACATTCAAATAGATGTATATAGTATGGTATCACCTTTTAGTGGCACTGAATGTTTTTACCAGCTGTTCATTATCACTGAAAGATAAACTTCTCCCTGAAATGCAGTGTTGTAATTAGCTGGTTATACGTTGTCATCAGATATGGTCATACAAGCAGAGATATATAATTGAAAATCCAGAGACACTATGATTTTTTGGTATATTTCAGTACAATTTTATGTAAAAAGATTTCTCTATGCATCTCTACAGAAAAGAATCTGCAAAGTGACAGAAGCCAGATAAGTATTTTTATAAAGCAGAGTCTAAAATTTTAGCTTTATTTAAAACTGACCTTGTTTTTCTGCTGCTTTCTTATCAGGTAGTTCCTGACGAGCTTATTGCAATGGCAGAAAGGTACAAACAATTTCAAACCAGAAAAGAAAAAGATATACAAAGACCTTGGAGAAAGCTCTCAAAATAACTGTAATCCCTTGAAGCTACTGAAACAAAGTTATTATAGTTAATGTTAGCAGCTCTGGGCTTGAATTTATAAGTTTAATTTCTCATTTGGTTGTTTTCTGTACCTGTTCCATTTAAATAAACCATTTAATTTAGTTTCGAGGAGGATTTAGTTAAATGCAGTATCGATATATAAGAATGTGAAAGATAATTTTTCCTTTTATTTTCAGAGAACTGAATTAGTCATTGTAAGCAATGTTTGTCAGTGTAGCTTCAAAATACTATACCTTTGCCTTGATATGCTGCATCTGCCACTGGCACAAAGAAGTATTTCTAAGGATAACTTAGTTATTTGAAAACTGCTATCTTGTAGTAACTTATGTTCGCTGAAGCAAGTTTTCTTTAAAACTTAAGATTAAAAGTCATTTTTGTTAAGACTTTCAAGGTTTTTTTAGAGGTCTGCATTTTCTTCTGATGGAGGTGAGCATGACAAGAAGTCCATGTTTGTGGTTAACTGGGAAGCAAACAGCTTCTACTCTTATTTTCATGGATGTAATATTCTAGTTTAAAGAAAACCGGAGTTTACTAGAGCAATGTTAACAAAGTCATGGAACAACAAATACACTTAAAGGTCAGCTTTTATTTCCTTCAGATAAAGTTGATTCAAATTTTACATTTACAGTTTCTGTCACACAGATTCGTACAGATAATGGGGCATATTTTCTCTCTTTGGAATTTATATGGGAAGAAGTTACTCCTTCATTTGATGCTTTGTCTGAACTTGTGTTTATGTGTCATATGAGTAAACTAATAAACTGAATTTAGTGAAATGAAAATATTTTAATAAAATTATTCTATAAATGTTCTTTTGGTCTTGCCTCTTTATTTGCTCAAAATTGAGGTGAAATCTGGGCATTATTTAAGCCACTAGGTTATTTTGCCTTCAAAAAGTAGGCTAAAAATACAGACTTGCCATGGCTTCTTTAAGGAGACACAAAGTATATATTTACTTGCAGCTCAGTAGTTCCCAAATGCTGTGTATATCTCACCTGCACAATTTTAGTTGTAGGAAATATAATTTTTTTCCCTAACAGGTATTTCTTTAACATGAGAAAAACAGAGCTGAATTCCAGTTTCAAGACTGTCAGATTCATGCTGCATTTTGGTTTTGATAACCTTTCATATCAAGAGTCTTCCTCTTTGATAGGGGTTGAAAGATGCATTTCTTTCTACAAGATTCATGATACAAATACTCATTGGCCCAGTAACTTTTACTTGGTTGTACCATATTAGATAGTGATTGCTTCCTACCCAAAGTCCAATGAAAAGACCCAATTCCAAAGCAATTCTGAAGACTCAGAAAGGGAAGTTGCTTCAGGAACTTCATATTATTTTGATACAAAATTCTCTCTCTATTTACTGTTGCTGGTGATTATCCTCTGCAACAGGTCTTCATCCACTCAGGAGTGGCGGTCTGAAAAACAAAAGCTAGACATGATCCCAGTATGGGGGAACTGGAATCATTTATTGAACACGAGAACACTATTTTAAAGGCATCTGGGGCCGGACATGTTAATGAAGAGGATGAGCTATGTTAATTAGGGAATTACACAAGTTTTTACTACCGTTGCCCAATGGGTTAAATATTTCCCTCAACCAAAATTACATAGGGGGAAAGGGATTAAAGGGGTTAAAGGGATTAAAGGGATTAAACATGGTCTGATACAATCATCTCAAGAGTCCTTTCTAATTTCTGCTGGAGCCAGGCTTAATCCATAAGGTAGAACTTTAACAGGTCTTAGGAGAAGGGTCCAAACTTGAATCACTGAGCTTTCTTTTGCTGAAAGCTGGGTTTGGGCTCCCATGGGAGCCTTGTCCTTCAGTCTACTGAAGAGTAACTTATGGTACAGAACTTTTTGTTCTAAATATGCAAATCTACATTATTAGATAGCTAATGTAAACAGTGATTTTAATAGCTCTCCTGAAATATTGGGAATCTGTTGTTCAGTTGATGGCTTATCTGTCTTGCAAGGAAATTATTGCTTGCTTTGTCTTCCAGACTGAGCAAGTTGTATTGCGGAATAAAAAAGTGAGGCAGCTGAGACTTTTGCAGGCACTCCACAAAATATCCCAGACATTTCTGAAAGCAATGATCCAGATCTCCCAAAATCCAGTCTGTGTCATTTGGCCACATGACACAAGAGTGGAAAAAAGCAGTTTTGACATGATATGAACAGAATTTTTCCAGCTCTTTTGGATATTTCATTTTAAGTTGCTCTAGAAGATACTTCAGCAGCTTAAGACAACCTTTCCTGTTAAATAAATAAGAATTTATTAGGTACCTTCTACATAGTTCTAAATATGTATTTTACATATTTAAACATAAAGAATTATGCATTAGTTGTGACATTCTTGATTCAGTACAAGATGTAATTGGCAAACAACTTCTTAGTTTACTTATTAAGGAGGTTTTGTACCTCATGTGGGTTTTGTTCTTCCTCTTTGAAGAAATCTGGAGAACAGTTTTTATAAAGTGAAAACTCATTTATTCATCCTGATCTGACTCAGCAGTTCTTTTCTCACCATCATTTTAGAAATTGCCTTGATATGAAGTGTAATGTTGCTCAGAAAGCTGAGTCATCACTCTTTTATGCTGTTTTTTATAAACAGGACTGAACTTGGGACAGATTATTTAACAAGTCGCATCTTTTGCGTTCTAAGGCAAGTTCAGAGTGTAAACCAACAACTATGATTGTTTCCACCTTTCATTAAGTAAATGCAAGTCAGACATTCAAACGAGTACATGCACTGTCGTACTGCTATAGAACTATTATACCTAAAAGCCTTATTCTTGCTTCCTATTGTGAGTAATTACTCTCAGATAAAATTCTTAAATACTAAACTGAAACAGAGCTAGACAGCACTAGCCTGGCTCACACAGGCCTAAAGTAAAATATTCATATGAAATACCAACCTACAGCACTTTGTTCCATCAGATTCACAACACGTCTTTGAGTGGCCATGGTTCGTCATCATTTCCTTCTCAATATGTGAGAAGGAGAGTCGCCATGTGTTTCCTAAAGTTGAACACAAGACTGTTAAATTGTTACACAGCACTAAGTATCGGCATCTGTATCTAGAAAAAAAAAAGAGACATTTTGCAATTGCCTTAATTTTAAATATTGGCAATTTCTTTACCCCTGTAAAAAAAAAAAATTATAATTCAGTGTCTGTAGTTAGTTCTTCCTTAATTCCCCAGCAGCTGTACACAAAGGCAATTAGAATATAATTAATATAGAACATAGTTAATTGTATGGATGCTTTAAATTTATAACAGTATTTGGATTTACTTCAAAATTAAGCTTAATTCTGATTTTTCCTGAATTTGTTGAACATGATTTGCGGAATTGCACTACTCATAGAAATCTACGATCTTTGAATTTCTGTATGCTTACTGTGTTTTCTGGTTTTTCTTTGTGCAGCAGGCTTGTGAGTTTATCTTGAGTATGGTGGCTGTTTTAAAGCACTTATTTTTGTTCTTCTGGTCATGCTTCTGAAAATAATTGCTAACAGAGCTCAACACCCTGTTTTTAACACCAGCAATCATTTTTGTCTTCCTTACATGTGTTATACTGTTTGCCTTGCCTGTTTGACTCAGTTACTCTGCATTTAATTTGCCCAGAAAGAGATAGCCCAGTACAGCAGTAATGATTTATTTGGCATTGATAACACAGGCATGCTAATTAAAAAAATACCAGATTGTCTGAAATGTTTTTGCTAAAATCATCAGTTCTCATAATGCAATGACAAGTCAGAATGTTTCTGCAAACTAATGTAGGCTTGGTCTGGAGGAAACAAAAATAAAACGTTGTAGCCATACCAGAGTTCAATGAGAAATAATGTATCTTGATAGAAAAGTACACAGTTTGCTTCCTGCAGAAGTATCTGATTTCTGGGTGCAGTCCCATGTGCAGGGATGTTCCCTGCCTTTTTAGAAGCCTTTTAATTTATTTTTTTTCTTTACAAAACAAAGGAGTGTATAGTGCTGTTAAGTACAGCGCGAGCATAGGGAAGGTTCATATCCATGTGTCTGACTGGAGTAGATTTAATATAATGCTCTTTTGAATGTATAGTGTACAGCCTGCCAGAGCAGTTTTGTATTTAGGTTTCCGTACAAGACAAGCAGTATCACAAATCTGATGTTTTAAAGAGGGATTTCAGTTGTCTTTGATCTGGATATATCCAGGATGAGATAAAGATCTGTACCTCAGAGGCACAGATCTGGATACCCTTTCTATAGCACTTGTAAGTGATCAAATTGTAGAGAAGATATTTCATGACTTATTATTGTCCATATTTGAGGTACCTCTTAGAACCTTTTCTCTTTTGTTTTGCTTGGCTACTAAATAAACTGATCTCGATTTGAAATCTCTCCTGACTTTTGTTCCCAGCCACTGTTCAATTTTGAGGCCGTCCTGTGTGCTGGGCAGACAGCTGTGCTTGACTTCCAGAGTCAAGATGATGTCCACTGATATTTCTGATGGAGGATTTTTGATCTGAAGAGTTATTGCAGGGCTTCCAGCCTTTTTCCTTTTCACAGTTACTTCCACATCTAATAACAAAGAAGAGTGATTTTTCATGTTAGATATATGTATATATATACACACACATATATAAGGAACCTTTTTTGAAGAATGTTGAGGTTTTTACAAATGAGGAATTCATAATCAATCAAAAGACATACCTGGGTTCCATCACTGGCTCTTTATCCTACAGGATATGGATGTTAAATAAAACATTAAGAAGGCCTGTTGATAAGTTCTATGAAATAAGGAACACTACTTTTGAACTGCTGTGTTTGTTTGATTTACTGTGTAAGAATCAGAAATACAGTAATGTTTTCCAGTGACCTGCTTCACTGTTGAAAATACACACTGAAAAGATTTGGCCACAATGTTTCTGAAGGCTTTGGAGGAAAATAACCCTATAAGGGGATACATTTTCTGTATCAATTGATATAAAATATTAGGTAATATGTAAAAGAAAGCTCTTTGTTGTGTACAAAGAGCCATTTGATGAATAGGTGCAAAATACACAGATCATGTAGGAAGTACCAAGCATACAATAGTACCCTTAATATTTGTTATTTTCATACGGAAAGAGGATTGCATAGTGGACTTAATCACGTAATATGATTAGCTCTGATGTATTTGTGATTCTTAACACAAGACCAAACTTGAGATATTGGGGACAGGAAGAGTTACAGCTCCATTGCCAGAAAAAGACAGTTGACGGGGAGGAAAACCCATTTTATTAACAAGAGGGCAATGCATATGCACAATGTAACTGGTTTTTTAGCACTCCTAGGTGAAGCTTGTTATCTCAGTACTTACTTTTAAAGTTTTTTACTTCTTGTTTAATAATTTCTCTAAGTGCTTGAAGCATTTTAAAGGCTGATAATTTTCCATCTTCATCTAAAAACTTCAACAAATACTTTTCTTTTGGATTTCTTTTGAATGTTATGTAATAATAGGCTCCCGTGTCATCAGACTCATCCAGCTGAAGCCTTTCAACAGGTATTACCAGCATGATGTCAAACTCATTTGGTTGAGATATCTGCAAAGTAGGAGAATACAACAATAAATGTGCAGCTTGAGTTTTATTCTCTTTAGATTTTTATACCAATTATGGTTTTATCTACAACTGTCTTGATGTACTTCTCATGTCTGGTGTGAAATATGAGCTTATTTCTGTGGATTTGTATTGCAAGATTACTGTGCATTTGGGTGGAGAAAAGCAATTTACTTATAGCAGTGCACTTCCAAGCTTTCCAACTTATTAATTTTTAAAAAAGCTTTAAGATTCTTGAGCTGTTCTGAGTAATGCATAAATGCTGAACTCAGTCATCCTTTTGCACATAGGAATCGTCTGTGAGAAAAAAATGCACTGCTATGTCTGAAGATGTTTTTTATACCACCCCCCGCCAAAAAAAAAAACCCAAGGGTCCACATATTTGACTTTGTTCCAGGGTGTGCTGGAACCAGGAAAAAAAGGTACTGCTTAATCAGAGAATGTTAAGGGGTTAGAATGGACCTGAAAGATCATTTAGTCCAAACTCCCGTGCCGTGGGCAGTGACACCTTGATGTCTTATGATCAACCTCCCACTAGATCAGGTTGCTCAAGGCCTTATCCAACCTGGATTTGAACACTATCAGGGTTGGGGCATCCACAGCCTCCCTGGGCAGGCAACCTGTTCCAGTGTCCAACCACCCTTACAGTACAAATTTCTGCTTAAATTAGCCTAAATTTCCCATCTTTCAGTTTCCATTACTCCTGCTTTTTGAAAAAAGTATAAACTAAAAACTGGCACAGGGCCTTTCGTGTAGTGCTATACTGACGGGTCCTGCGGTTACATCGGGCTCACCTGCGTGCTGTGCAAGAGCGGGGCTCGCCGTGAGTCCCGTTCAGGCAGCGTCTCTAACTGAACGCGCATAGGCACACACCTTTCAGTAGGTTATTTATCACTTTATAAAGCATTATGGTTAATTAACGCAGCCACCCTACAGTTTTAACTTGTCG